GGCCGGGCCGGCGCGCAGCGCCGCGGCGCCGTCCTCCCGGCCGCCGCCCGCCCCGACGCCGGCGCTGCCGGTGTGCGTATTGGAGAGTCCTGCGCGCGACAGGAGACCCTCCAAAAACGACTGGCCACCTTCTTCAGAGTAAGCGCGCAGCACCTTGTTGACCACAGGCACAACGGGGTCCTCTGCAAAGGGAGAGTTGCCCCACGGGTTTGTGTGTGTGTGTGGGGGGGGGGGGGCGGACGCGTGAGCCGAAACGGATCCAGCTCGGCCGCGTCTGGGGCGCTTTGGGCCTGGGTGCGTGGACGAAGCGTGAGCGGCCGGCCCTGCGCCGCCGATCAGGGGCCGGCTGCACCACCCACATCACCACCAGTTGCGCCGCGAGGGCGCTGCAGTCGCAGCAGCCTGCGACGGCAATCACCAGCCGCCGCGTGCGTCGCCGCTTGCACGCGTGCAGCCGCGTGCCCCCGCCCACCTGGCAGCACGAAGTTGGATATGTACTGGTCCCACCCCGCCGCTGCGACCTCCCGCGCGAGCGCCTCGTTGCCAACCGGCGGCGCAGCGAACGAGATGCAGCGGATCTGCGGGTCCCGCGCCGCCGCGCCGCCGCCGCCGCCCTCGCCGCTCCCGTCACCGCCCCAGCCGCCGCCCGCGGCGCGCTGAGCGGCCGACTCCTCTCTGAGCAGCGAGACCGCCCCCAGCATCGCGACCGCGCCCCCCAAGGAGTGGCCGCACAGCACTAGCCGCTTGCCGGCCGCGCGCGCCGAATCGCGCAGCTCCGCCAGCGGCAGCGCCATGGAGCGGCGGCAGAATCCCCCATGCGCCGACGGATGCTGCGCGGCGGCAGAGCGGCACGCGGCAGGGAGTCGGCACGGGCCGTTGGCGGGGCGGCGCTCGGGCTCCGGGCGGCGCTCGTGGCATTATGATGGGGCAGCGCATGCGGGAGGGACCGCCACCCACACAACTGGTTGGCACCAAGGCAATGGAAGCGCATCAGGGCTGACCCGAGTCCTTCGCCCGCAGACCCCGCCCGCGGCCGCGACGCCCCGAAGCTTCCCACTGACGGGCCCTGCTTTGGGGCAGCGGTGCCCCCTCCCCACCTGCTGCCCGTCGCCGCGCCGCCAGAGGGGCAGGTGCCAACACCTCAGGTTGGCCGCCCAGTCGCCGACATGCTGCGTCCCCTGAAACGCCACGTACACGGCGCCGGGGCCGTGACTCACCACGTAGCTGCGGCGGGCGGGGGCGGGGCCGCGGGCGCGCGCGGGGCGTCGGGGCGGCGGGCGCGGGCGCAGCAACAAGCGCCGACCCCTGGCCTGCGCAGCTGCGAGCTCCGTCTGGGCGGAGAGGCGGAGGCTCGGGTCCCCAGGAGCCGCTTTGGGCGAGGTGCCTGCCCGCGCCGCGCCACGCGCTCGCCGAGCGTTGCGGCGAGGCATGCGCATCGCGGCCCCGAGCGCGCGCGCGCGCGCTCCTCGCCGCGCGCCACCCACCGCTGGTGGCCGGCGGTGTGCACTGTCAATTCCCCCACGTCCGCCTCCGACAGCAGCGCCCGCACGGACGCGAGGTGGCCGCGCAGGCGAGCGGCGTCAAAGTGGGTGCGGTACGCGGCTTCTGAAAGCAGCGCAGCACTTTGAAGGTCCTGGGAAGGTGCGGCGCGGAGCAGCGGGGCGGGGCGGCGCGGGCATTTGGGCGGGGGCGCCAATCGCATGCGATCGGGCCCTGATCGCGTGTGGGGATGGCCAAAGGGCGTCGGGCCGCGGCAGGGGGCTGATGGGGGATGCGGAAGCTGGGAGCCCGTGCGCCTGCACGCGCGCAGGTCGCCGCTGTTGGCCGGGCACCTGCCCCATGCTGCTGCCGTTACTGCCCTGCAGCGCCTGCCCTGCGCCACGCCGCGCCGCGCACCAGTGCATCGAACGCGGATGTCCACATCGTTGTGTGACCGTCGAGCTGTGCTGAGGCCTCCACAGCGCGGTTGACCACCCGCCAGTGTTGAGCTGGCCGTCCCCCCGTCCAGGCTTTCCCGGCCCCAGGGCCCTTAGAGTGTGCCACTGCCAGTCAAGCTTTCTGTGATCCGCGACTGCAGTTGAGATCACCCAGAAGAATGATACGCTTTCACGACAGCACAGATGCGCGCTGCTCTCAATCAGGGCCACCGCATGGCCCCTAAATGAGCTTGTTTAGCTTTGCCGCGAGCACCTGATCAGAGGCGCATGCTTGTCGTCTGCCACACCGAGCAGCAGATGGACTGCAGCGTCTCTTCCGCGCTGCGTTCAGCCCCAGAGCTTATGAATGCCCTCAGTAACCTTTTCTGCACAGTTTAGCAATTTAAGTTGATTATGATTTTTGCCAGGGCTTTGTTGTCACCTATCAAGCAACGCCCCCCCTCATGTTGGCGGTCAAATGTTGCTAGGCCGCTGCATGACCATGTGGTGATGCCCACAGCTGTGCAACAGGAGGAAGCTGTGCAGAGCTGTTGGCATGTGCTCACCCCCCAAGCCTGGCGGCATAGCCATCCCATGAGGCCTGCTACGACGTGCTGAGGCTGCCACCTCTCAACACCTCAGTCGTGTACGCCCTGCACTCCTCGGGGCACCCCTCTGGTCAAACGTTCCTTCATCTGCTGCTCACCCAGCTTGCCTGCAGGTTTGAACGATGCAGCTTCGGTGACCGGCGGCAGCAGCATTCAAAGCAGACTTGAGGACAGACCATCACGACAAAGGACTTACGACAAGGAAGATGCGGCGCCCTAGGTGGCTGTTGCAGCCGCTTGCAGGGACTGACAGTGCTGGCCTTCCCGCCGACTCCCTTTCCATGCAGGCTGCCCATGCCCTTGAGATTCTATCACGACTGCCGCTGCCAGCCCTCCCTATGCCCTCGTCCCACCATTGTCACTGGTATTCCGGCTGCTGCTTTTGTGGGCTTGACTGTGCCCAAAGCCAGGGGAACTGCTCATTGTAACCTGACAACAATACAGCGTTGAACGCATGCGGCCACACATGGAGCTGCAGATTGTGCCCTAGCCGGTGGATTGAACAACATCCAAGTACACTGTGGGATTCCTCCGCAGCTATCTTGTCGCTCAGTTATCAACTTGCTTTGGGCATGTGGCAGCTAGTGGCAATATGGACCATGCAGGCCACGCAGTCACGCCACCGCTGGCTGCTGCTGCTTGCAAGCTTGCTTGTGTCCAGCCTTCCAGTCCGCGGCCTGCAATGCAAAGCGTTCCGCAAGCAAGGTAGGTTATGCGGGCAAGAGCTGCACAATGCGTTTGCAATTTTCAGCTTCAGTCGCACGAGAGATGTTGCCAGAGCCGGTCCACCCGAACGAGACGACTGGTGCCTGTGCAGCGCAGCCGCCAAATTTGCTGCTGCAGCCCGTCGGCCCGACTGCCGGCGCACATGTTGAGACGAGCAGGCGCCCACTTTCTCCTTGATCCCACTGCCCTCACCTGGCATGCGGAGCTGCAGTAGAAAACCGCGTTGCAGCGCGAGCACAGCTTGAGCCTTGCTGACCCCGCCTCTGCCGCCGTCTTGCCGCACTTGGCGCACCGCTTCGGCCCTCCCCTGCGGCTCGGGGCACCTCTGTGCGCCGCATCAGCTTTATTGGCCTCCGCCGCGCCCGCTGCAGCCGTGCCAGTCTCTCGCAAATTAGTGTGCTGTCCCTCCTGCACGACTGCCCCCGTCCCCGGCGGAGGTGGGTGCTTCATGTCAAAACGAAAGACTGTTATGGCGGCCCGCAATGGCTGGGACGGCGCGAGCTGCTCAGCGGCCGCCAGCACGTCATCGCTCAATGTCACTGGGCGCAGCAGCAGCACCTCGGCTGCAGCCTCTCGGTTGGCGCACAGCCGCCCAATCAGCTCGGCGGCCCCAGTCTTGAAAAGCGGCGAGCCCCTGCGCAAGCAGCGCGAGGCAGCGTCCAGCGCGCAACGCGCGCGCGCGACAGTGGCCGCACGGCCGTTGTCGACCAGTGAAATGAGCAGCATCAGCGGCTGCGGTGCCGCGTACATCATCTGGCTGGAGGGATCGTACGGATCGTGGCCGGCCCGGAACGTGACCTGGCGCATCGTGTCGTCTAGCGCGCCGGGCGTCTCGCGCGACGCATCGTCGAGCCGCTTGGCGAGCGCTTGCAGCATGCCTGGGTGGTCGGCGACAACGGCGACAGCGGCCGTGTCGAAGTCGCCGAGCTGGGGGTTTGCTACAAGGTTCTGCAGCGCCGCCACCGCGGCCTGCGCCAGCCACGGCTCCGAGCCGCGCCCACGCGCACACGTGGCGAGCGCTTCGAGCAGGCCTGGTGTGCGCAGCGCCGCGTCGCAGGCTGAGCGCGGCCCGCAGACCGCGAGGTTGCACAGGAACAGCACGGCGCTGTGCGCGGCCGCCTCCAGCGGGCCGGCCGGCGGCGGCGCGGCGGCCCTCGAGGCGACGAGCCTTGCGACCTGCTGAACGACTGTCGCGCCAAGGGGAAGCCGCACGGCGGCAAGTTTCGCGAGGGCGGCCATGTTCACGGCCCCGTCGGCGCGCGTCCCGCCCGTCATCACACTGCAGAGCGCCATGGCGGCCTTGGCGCGGATTGGAGGGGCACTATGGGAGTCTGACATCTCGCGGACCGCCCAGGCCATCAGTGCAGGTCGATCAACAAACTATGGCGGCGGTACGTGGCAGGGCGGCGCTCAGGTGTTGTTGCTGCATGCCGAAGCGCGTTACTTGCCCTGGACGAAAGGAACTATCTGAAGCAAGTTAGGCATGGATGCATGCACGCCTTGCCACCCTGGCATGCACACGCGGTTGCACGCGCACGGTCTCGCACGCGCGCATGTGTGCATGCACTGCTCACTAGCTGGTGGCCTGGACAGGCACTGTACGTTCACAAATAACACACCGTAGACGTATTGCATGCTGCACAGGCACACAACCAGGCTCTCGTCAAGCTAGGGAAGGGTGGCTCACCTGCTGTATGCGGGGCGCGCTGCCAAACACCGCGGCAGCCAGCACGTCCAAACCGAACCCACGCAGAGCCGGGTTGCGGGAAGCAGCGATGTCCTCCAGAGCGCCAAGCGCTTCGCTCGTGAGCGGCGCCGCAAGGTCCGCCTCCAAGCCAGCTCGCGCCTCAAGTGCGGGGCCGGCGAACTGCGACTCCCACTGCCCGAAGCTGACAGCACGCGCCGGTGCGCTTGCCATGCTTTCGGCCAGGCGCACAATCATCGCGCTGGGTGTAGGGGACATGGCTGTTGTCGCCTGCGCGTTTGGATGTGTACAAGGTATGGTAAGCTCAGCGCGAGGTGTTTCAATTTGCCGCTTTGAATGATCAGATGATCTCGAGCTGAATCGTGTTATTGCTGTGGCTTTATCATGAGACATGTTTGCAAAGACAGCAGACGCGTCGGCTGCATGTCGAAAGCACGGGACAACAGCGGCATGCAATGATGCGCCACTGCACAACAGCGGCGGGAAACAATGTTCGGCAAGCTCGAGGAACCATCCTTCGCTCGCATGCCTCACAACCCAGTTGCTGAGTCACTTTTCAGCAAAATATCAAAGCGCACGCGCTTGGACCGCGTCTTGGGGTTGGTAGGCTGCCAGAAGCGGATGCTCCACCTGCCTGCTAACCTGCATGCCGCTCTTCTCGCTGACGTTGCCTGCTAATGTGTGTGACGCAACTTTGATTACCAGCGGCAGCAGCATTTACAGCATTGCACCCATCATCATGCGGAAGATGCGGCGCTCTGGCTGGTTGATGCAGCCGCTACAGAGGCCGACGGCGCTGCCCATGCCACCAACAGCCTTTTACGCAGCTTGCTGATGCCCTCCAGATTCAAGCGCAATCGCCGCCGCCACCACTGCCTACGCCCTCGCCCCCAGCGATGTATCTGTCTGTATTCCAAGTGGTGCCTTGTGGCTTGGCTGTGGAAAAAGTCAGGCGAAACGCCCATTGTCACCTCCTCCAAAGCAGAACCGTGTTCATTACGTGCATACACATGACTCCGATATTTTACCCTAGACGGTCGTTTCATTATGATTCACGGTGCAGAATTTCTGCACAGCCATCTGCAAACTCTTCTTGCACATCCACAGACTTCATTGGGGCATGTGGCAGCCAACGCATTATGGACCATGCAGGCCACGCAGTCACGCCTCCTCTGGCCGCTGCTGCATGCAAGATTGCCTGTGCCCGGCCTTCCAGTCCACAGCCTGCGATGGGAAGCAATCCGAGAGAAAGGTAGGACGTGCGGGCAAGAGCTGCACAAACCGCTTGCATGGGTCAGCTTGCCTCGCACAAGAGCTATTGCCAGAGACGGCGCGCCCAAACAAGACGACTTGCGCCTGTGCAGTATAGCCGCCAAAAGCTTCGCTGCAGACCGTCGGCCCGACTGCTGGCGCACACGAACAGATGAGCAGGCACCCACTTTCTGCGTAATCCCCCTGCCCTCACCTGGCATGCGGTGCTGCAGTAGTACACGGTGTTGCAGCGGGAGCACTGCTTGAGCCTTGCTGACCCCGCCTCTGACGCCGTCTTGCCGCACACGGTGCAGCGCCTTAGCGCTCTCTCACGGTTTCGAGCACCTCCTTGCCCCGCGTCAGGCTGAGCGGCGGCCGCTGCGCCTGCTGCGGCTGACCCAGCCCCATGCAGATTAGCGCCGCGTCCCTCCTGTACCGCTGCCCCCGACCCCGGCTCAGGGGGGTGCAACGTGTTGCGGAAGATTGATATGGCGGCTCGATAATGCGGGGTCGCGGCCAGCCGCTCAGCAGCCGCCAGCACGTCATCGCTGAATGCTACTGGGCGCATCAGCTGTAGCACGGTTGCAGCCTCACGGTCGGCGAACAGGAGCCCGATCAGCTCGGCGGCTCCGGGCTTGAAACACGGCAAGCCGCCACGCAAGCAGCACGAGGCCGCGTCCAGCACGCAGCGCGCCCGCGCAACGGCGGCCGCGCGGCCGTGGTAGGCCAGCGACATGAGCAACATGAGCGGCTGCGGCCATGGCATGTGGCTGGAGGGGTTGCCCAGGTCCCGGCCGGCTGCGGATGTGATGTTGCGACCTGCGCTGCCCAGCGGGGCGGGTGCCTCATGGGCTTCAGCATTGAGCCGTGTGGCGACAGCGCGCAGCATGCCTGGGTGGTCTGCAACGGCGGCGACGGCGGCCGCATCAATGCCGCCGGTCTGGGAGTGCGCTATGAGGTTCTGCAGCGTGTTGATTGTGGTCTGCGCCAGCCACGGCTCCACCCAGCGGCCACACGCAGCCTCGGCGAGCGCGTCGAGCAGGCCTTGTGTGCGCAGCGCCGCGTCGCAGGCGGCGCGCGGCCCGCACGCCGCGAGGCTGCACAGGAGCGGCAGGGCGCGCCGCGCGGCTGCCTCTAGCGGGCCGGCCGGCGGCCCCCTTGTGGCGATGAACCTCGCGACCTCCTGGATCACCGTTGCGCCTAAGGGCAGCCGCACGGCGGCCAGCTTTGTGATTGCAGCCACGATTTCGGCCCCACTGCTGCGTGCCCAAGCCGAGATCACGCTGCAGAGCGCTGTGACGGCCTTGGCACGGATGGCGGGGGCGCTGCGGGAGTCTGACATCTCGCGCACCGCCCAGGCCATGAGTGGGGGTCGGGCGACAAACTGAGGTGGCGGTGTGTGTGAGGGCGGCACTCGGGTGTTGTTGCTGCATGCCGCAGCACTTTGCCTGTCCTGGCCTAAAGCAAGCACCCGAAGAAAGGCAGGCATGGATGCATGCGCGCCTTGCAGCCTTGACATGCACACACACATATGCGGGCGCGCGGGCATGCGCGAGCCCCGACAAGAGCTCGCTCTCTTGTGCACGTGCGCACGCCTCACGCACCGGGGGCCTGGACAGGCCGTGTGCATGTTCACAGGACATGCTATGCGTGCTGCACGGATACACAACCAGGCTCTGATGAATCTAGAGGAGGGCAAATCACCTGCTGTATGCGGGGCGCGCTGCCAGACACTGCAGCAGCCAGCATGTCTAAGCCCAACCCACGCAGAGCCGGGTTGTGGGACGCAGCGATGCCCTCCAGAGCGCTCAGCGCATCGTCCGTGAGAGGCGTCATAAGGTCAGCCTTCAACCGAGCGCGCGCCGCCCGGGCGGGGCCGGCAAACTGCGACTCCCATTGCCCGCAGCCGACAGCGCGTGCTGGGGCGCTTGCCATGCTTTCGGCCAGGCGCACTATGACCACGCTGGGCGTGGGGGACATGATTTGCGCCTGAGCGTCTAGATGCTTGCCAACATAAGCTCAGCTCAAGGTAGTGTCGTTCGTCGCTTGAAATGATTGGATGATCTGCAGCTCGACACGACTCGTGTTACTGCTGAGGCTGTGGTGTGTAGAAAAACACATATCTACATCGGCAGCAGACTCGTGGAATCGAATCCGAAAGCGCAGGGGCATCAGCAAGTACCGAAGCGGCATGCGTGCCACTGATCGGCAACACTCCAAAAGCGGCGGGAAACAGTGTTCAGCAAGCTCAAGAAATCCTCCTGCGCTCGCATGCCTCACAACGCAGTTGCTGACTCAGTTTGCAGCAAGAACAAAGTACGTGCGCTCGTACCGCCTCTTGGAGTTGGTAGGCTGCCAGAAGCGGATGCTCCCCCTGCTTGCTGACCTGCACGCCGCTCTGCTCGCTGACCTTGCATGCTCATGTGTGTGACGCAAACCAAAAGTACTAGCGGCAGCAGCATTTCAGGATCAAACCCATTATCACATGGAAGACGCGGCGCTCTGGCTGGTTCATGTACCGTAGCCGCTATAGAGGCCGACGGCGCTGCCCAAGCCACCAACCCTTGTCACGCAGCTTGCTGATGCCCTCCAGATTCGAGCGCAATCGCCGCCGCCGCCACTGCCTACGCCCTCGGCCCGGGAGTTATATCTGTCTGTATTCCAAGTGCTGCCTTGTGGCTTGGCTGTGCAAAAAGTTAGGGGAAACGCCCATTGTCACCTCCTCCGAAGCAGTACCGCGTTCATTACATGCATGCACATGGAGCTCCGATATTTTACCCTAGACGGTGGTTTCACTACATCCAATCACGGGTCAAAGTTTCTGCACAGCCATCTGCACAGTCCTCTTGCACACCCACAGACTTCATGGGGGCATGTGGCAGCCAACCGCAACATGGACCATGCAGGCCACGCGGTCACGCCTCCTCTGGCCGCTGCTGCATGCAAGCTTGCTTGTGCCCAGCCTTCCAGTCCGCAGCCTGCACAGCAAAGCGTTCCGCAAGCAAGGTAGGACATGCGGGCAAGAGCTGTACAAAGAGCTTGCATGGGTCAGCTTGAATCGTACAAGAGCTACCGTATTGCCAGAGCCGGCCCGCCCAAACGAGACAACTTGTGCCTGTGCAGTACAGCTGCCAGAAGCTTCGCTGCAGCCCGTCGGCCCGGCTGCTGGCACACATGATGAGACCGTCTTGTGACAAGCAGGCCCCCACGTTCTCTGTGACCCCCCTGCCCCCACCTGGCATGCTGTGCTGCAGTAGTACACGGTGTTGCAGCGGGAGCACTGCTTGAGCCTTGCTGACCCCGCCTCTGCCGCTGTCTTGCGGCACTTGGCGCACCGCTTCGGCCCTCTCCTGCGGCTCGGGGCACCACCTTGAGCGGCCACCGCCGCGCCTGCTGCAGGCGGCCCAGCCCCATGCATATTAGTGCCGCGCCCCTCCTGTACCGCTGCCCCCGACCCCGGCCGAGATGTTTGCGACGTGTTGCGAAAGGTTGATATGGCGGCTCGGTAGTGCGGGGTCGCTGCCAGCCGCTCAGCAGCCGCCAGCACATCGTCGCTGAATGCCACTGGGCGCAGCTGCAGTAGCACGGCTGCAGCCTCTCGGTCGGCGCACAGCCGCCCAATCAGCTCGGCGGCCCCAGTCTTGAAAGGCGGCGAGCCTCCGCGCAAGCAGCGCGACGCCGCGACCAGTACAGTGCTCGCCCGTGCGACGGCGGCCGCGCGGCCATTGTCGACCAACGACATGAGCAACAGCAGTGGCTGCGGGCGTGCATGCGGCATGTGGCTGGAGGGGTCGCCCCGGTCCCGGCCGCCCAAGAACGCGATCTCACGCGTCGCGCCGCCCAGCTGGGCGGGTGCCTCATGGGCTGCGGCAACGAGCCGCGTTGCGAGAGCTCGCAGCATGCTTGCATGGTCTGCAACGGCTGCAACGGCGGCCGCGTCGAAGCCGCCAATCTGGGCGTTTGCTATGAGGTTCTGCAGCGCGTCGATTGCGGCCTTTGCCAGCCACGGCTCCGACCAGCGGCCCCGCGCGGCCTGGGCGAGCGCTTCGAGCAGGCCTGGTGTGCGCAGCGCCGCGTCGCTGGCGGCGCGCGGCACGCACGCCGCGAGGCTGCACAAGAGCGGCAGGGCGCGCTGCGCGGCCGCCTTCAGCGGCCCGGTCGGCGGCGGCGCGGCGGCCTTCGAGGCGATCAGCCTCGCGACCTCCTGGATCACCGTCGCGCCCAGGGGCAGCCGCACGACGGCCAGCTTCGTGAGCGCGGCCATGACGACGGCCCCGCTGGTGCATGGCACAGCCGAGATCACGCCGCAGAGCGCCGTGATCGCCTTGGCGCGGATTGGAGGGGCACAATGGGAGTCTGACATCTCGCGAACCGCCCACGCCACCAGCGCGGGTCGCGAAACAAACTGTGGCGGCGGAGCGCATGAGGGCGGCGCTTGGGTGCTGTCAATGCATGCCGCACCACTTTCCTGTCCTGGACTTGAGCAAACACCCGAAGCAAGTTAGGCATGGATGCATGCATGACCTGCCACCTTGACATGCACGCATGCATCCGCGGGCGCGCCGGTGTGCACGTGCTGCCCCATGAGCTCGCACGCGCACGCATGCGCGCGCACGGGTCACGCACCGGCGACCTGGATGCGCAATATGTATGTGCACAAGACACACCACGCATGATGCACGGTGATGAAAAGAGGCTCTAGTCAAGCTAGGGAAGGGTGACTCACCTGCTGTATGCGGGGCGCGCTGCCAAACACGGCGGCAGCCAGCACGTCCAAGCCCAACCCACGCAGAGCCGGGTTTGGAGAAGCGGCGATGTTCTCTAGAGCGCCCAGCGCATCGTCCGTGAGCGGCGCCATGAGGTCGACCTCCAAGCCAGAGCACGCCTTCAGGGCGGGGCTGGCAAACTGCGACTCCCATCGCCCGCCGCTGACTGCGCAGGCAGGGGCGCTCGCCGCGCTTTCAGCTAGACGTACGATCAGTGTGCTGGGTGTGGGGGACATGGCTGGGGCGTGCGCGTTTATATGCGTGAAACCGTTAAGCTAAGATTAAGGGGCAATAGTATGCCACTTGGGATGAGCGGATGATCTTGATCTCGAGACGTTTTACGGCTGTGCGGCTTTTGGTTATACGTATGATATCCACATCGACAGAAAACTAATTGAATTCATATTGACATCAGGGCACCAGCAAGTATCATATCCTAGCTCAATGCATGCCGACGACCAGCAACCATCCAAGGCGGCGGGAACCGACGTTCAGCCACCTGGACAACTTATGCTGCTTGCATGCCTCACCACCCAGCTGTTGGGTTTTATACGATGGAAACGCTCCACCCATTTGTCTTCCTGCATTGCCAGCCGCATGACTGCTCGTCCACCAGATGCCTTGCCCTCCTCAAGAGCACAGCTGTGTGCCACACTGATTGCATGCAGCAACACCTGCTCAGCAGGTTGCCAGTGCCTTTTAGTTTGCCTGTTTTGCCACACCTCGACTCAGTGGCATTATCTCAAGTCTTGCGGAGAGCGCGGGTACGAGCGTTGCACTGCGACAGAGACAGCAGCACAGGTTGAAGCCTGCAGGACTATGTGCGCTGCAACTTGAAATGCTCCTGCAGCTTGATTGCTATGTCAAAGTTTCAGATACACCAGGACCTGATAGGCAGGAGGGCTGCTATGAGGTTACACACTTGGATTATCAGGCGTGATAAGTGTATGGAGCTGACTCAGCTTGCGCAGCCATGTCAGGGATTTTAAAGGTGCCAGATGGTATGCGGAAAGGCCACACACACGTGATCGCCATTAGCAGGCTCAGACAAAGCAGGCAATCCAGTCAGTATTATAGTATGTTGCATACGTGCTCTGGTCTGCAGGACCAGTGGCGCATCGCACACGTGAAACGCAATCGAAAGGCAACACGCTCATAGGGTGGCCCATGCGCACGCTTCACTGCTCTCAAGCGGCCTGATCAGCAGCAGCAGCCTCTAGTAATGAGGAGAGCCAGCGTGCCGCCTGCTGCCACACATTGGCCAAGAATGCCCTACATGGCAGCAATGCCAGCCGGCGCAGCAGGCAGGTCAAACCCGCGGACAACGCGCGCCGGTGCAGCGAAGGCGGTCGCGACCGCGCCCGGTGCAATGCGCGCGAGCCTGGCGAGCGCGCCGCACGCAGCCTCGTCGGCCGTGGCGAATGCGAGGGCGGCCGCGTCAGTCGAGTTCATGCGCTTGAGGGGCGACGACGGCGGCGTGACCAGCGTGTCGGTGTAGCGCGCGCGCGGCGGCACCCAGCGCGCCATCATCGCCGAGAAGCGGCGCCACGGCGGCTGCGTCAGGCCGCGTGCCTCGTAGGAGCGCGCCGCCTGCGCGGTGATGAGCGCGACGAGGCGGCGGAGGGTGCAGGCGTCGCCGACAAAAGTCTCGGGGAGGGAGTCGACGAGGCGCTCGTAGCCCGGCGTGGCGGGGGCCACACGGAAGGCCTCGCGGAAGGAGGGGTCCACGATGACGCCTGTTGAGGAAAAAGTGGGTGCAATGATGTGGATTGTGAGGCAGGGGGGGTGCAAGAAGCCCTGCTTCACAGTGCACAGGGTTGCCAGATGCCATCCCTGGAGGTGGATGCAGCAAACTCGCGCCACTGCATCTGGCGGGGCACAGAGAAGGGCTGCAACCTAGCTGTCTGCAACACCAGTATGCGCCAACAGAGGCATCCAGGCTGACGGCTGCATGGTGACAGCGTGGCGGCTGCATAGCATAGTTGCAGCTGCATTGCAGCTGCATGACGGCGGCTCACCCTCGTCCTCGGCGCCCTTGATCACGATGAAGCGTCCGCGCAGCACAAAAGCCTCAGCGGCGCGCCCGGCCCGCGCCGCGCCCGCCGCAGCCGCAACATGGGGCTCCCTGACCGCCACGCGCACGCCAGTGCCCTCCAGCAGCTGTGCCAGGCTGGCGGCGAGCGCGTCAATGCCGTCGTGGATGCCAGCAGGGGCGGCGGCATGGGCCGCCACGGCGCGGCGCAGGCCGCGCAGGGGGTCGCTGTCAGTGGGGGGCGTCATCAGGTCTTGGATGTCAATTATGGAAGCTTCCAGGGACAGGTCGCGGCCCGAGTTGGCGAGGCCATCGGCGGCCACCTTTGGGGAGCAGAGGAAGGGGAGAGAAAGGAGCACAACGAATCAGGGGCAGCTCCACCTTTTTTTACTTGACTCAGGGATAGATGCCTCACTTCACTCACAGTCCCTGCTGTACTGAAGCAGCTGACAGATGCTGCAGAGCGGCTCTCAGGTAAGAGAGCTATTGACCATATGTAGCTTCCCAGCCTCCGGGGCTGCCCAGCGCATCGCCAGCTGTCCATACCCATCTGGCCCGTTTCCGACCAGCTGTCCCGAAGCTGCGCGCCCACCTCCTGCTCGAGGGTGAAGAGCAAACCCTCATCTTCAACACCCGAGGCCCCCACAAACGCACTCGTTGCAGGCCCTCTCGACCTACGGAAGGCGCGGCAAGGGGTGAGGTGAGAAGTGTGACAACAGGGCCGACCTGTACAGGCCGCGGCAATGTGACGGCGAGCTGCATGTGCCATCATGTCATGGAGCTTGCTGTGCGGGCCGCTGACTTCCATGTGCCCTTATGCATGCTCCAAAACGTTCCCATGCTATGTGCATGCTACATATGCTAATGCTACATGGATAATGGGGGCTGCCAGGACGCACCGTGGGGCTGCTGGTGGGCCAGGGCGCCGCCCCCGCCGACCGCCGAGACGGCTGGCGATGAGATGCGGACGGAACAGCTACGGCACGAGGATGGAACATGGTTGCTGTTGGGTTGGGCGGTGGATGCGCAACGGGAGCGGAAAAAGGTGAATACTTTGCTGTTATGCTGCGAGCGAGAGATGTACTGTGAACGTGAACCGCATCGGGCGTGTAGTTTGGCTGGAAAACGACAGCACCCGTTCGGAAGTCTTGCGGACGCGGACGCCTCTCATCATGGGTTGCACGTCATGCGTGCCAGGCGGAGACGCCCTGGAAGACTATACACATATCATGAATGGTCTGATAAAAGTTGATCAAGTCAGCTCGGCGCGAGGTGTGCACACGGGCAGCCGTTTGTGCAGGTTGCCGCGCCCGTCGCCTGGCAACTGAGGGTGCCCCGCACGCGTGTCGATGCGCTCAGTTTCCTGTATCCTTGTATGCTTTGAATGTTGTTGCACATCATAAGGTGTTAGGGAAGACAGGCTGTGAAATAGTAAGTAAGGCGTGTATGTGTAGGCCGCTGCCCTGCACTGATGCACCTGTGGCTCTCATGAGTCATGACAGTCCACGGCCCTCGCGCCACACATCAGCTACACCAGGTGCCAGCGAGCCAAGCGCGCGGTGAATGTCGGACGCCCCTTGAACCAGGTTGTTGGGCTTCATATTGTTCTGTGCCCACATGCCCACGGGCAACACTCAGGTATCAAGTTGACCAGCACGGGCGGGTCGGAATCTACGTCTTTTCCCCTTGGCCACACTTCCTTAACCCCACCACCACAGCACACAGATGTATCAAAGCTTGGGTGACATGCAGACGTGAACGCAACCCTGGCAGTAGGTTGGAGGCGGCATAGACGCCGCGCGGAACAGCCGCGCGCACCATCACTCTGTCCATTCGCTCCAGGCTGCAAGTGCCTGCGCCTTGCCCTGAGCCTGCAGGACACCGTTTGCCGCTTTTTAGTTCCTTGCATTGGAAGGCAGCCGTGGCTGCCAGTGCCGGCAGCTGGTCACACCCCGGCTGCCAATGGCGCCGGCGGCTGCACAGACACCTGCTGCCCGGAAGCCTGCGTATGCACACACCTCGCATAATCGTGTGCACCGCACATCTTGCTTTACAACGCAGTGCTGCGCGCCGCACCAATACGCACAAGGAGGTGGTTGCAGTCAGTGCTCTCCTGGCCTTTGAGACCCCAAAGAAAGCAGCGCAGGCGCCAATGGGCGCCGGCTACGAGTTAGCGCCATGGCCCTCTGCCTTCCTGCCAGCTGTTACCACCCCTGCTGTCTCATTGACAGCTGAAGAATGTAAATGCGTTAGTTGCACAAGCTGCTTTTTCCTGATGCTGGTTGTACAGATGGCCATTTGCGTGCATGGCCGCGCGCTGCTGATCGCTCCCGTCGCACGCGTGGGACGGCCCCCAAGCGGCCCTTGCCCAGCAGCAGCGAGCGGCGGGCGCCGCTGTCAAGCACAGCCCTAGAAGCCCGGCCATGCGAAGCAGCCATGCGAAGCAGCCACCGACCTGGCTGACGGTTCGACCCATGCGCCCAGCACGCGAGCAGGCCGGCGAGCGCGCTGACGGGCCAACGCGTGAGCATGGGTCAGCCATGGCACGCGCGCACCCGCACCACGGCCGGCATGCCGTTGGTGCGTGCGCGGGCATGCCTGCCACTCGCCCGGAGCTTGCGCAGGCCGGCGGGGATGCACACAATTGCGATGAGCTCCCGCGGCCCACGAGCTCCCAGCACCAAGCGCACGCACAGCAGCGGGCGCTGCTGGCGGCCCCTTGCGTCCTGCATCACCCGAAAACGGCCCCCGGCCAGGCCCGGCCGAGCCGAAACCGGACTGGCGCGGGTTGGGGCGGGGTGCACCTCGACCAGGCCGCGATCAGATGCCCGCGCCGTCTCCGAGGAGGTAGTCCAGGGATGAGAGCAGATCATCATCCGCCATGAGCACATCCCCTGGCAGCGAGTCCATCGCCGCCGCGGCGAGCAGCGACGGCTCCCGGCCCCCGCTGCTGCCCGTCAGCCGCATGCCGACCGACGCGACGCCGCCGCCCGGCAGCGACCCGAGCTGCATCGGCGCGGCCGACGGGTCGCCGCCGCCGCCGCGCGCGAGGGCGGCCGCGGCGGCCGCCCTCGCGC